TGGAAAATATTCTTCTTAGAAAAGTATCACAAGAATGGAAGAAAAAGTATCCAATGTACACACCCCTATTATGAAACTAATTTATACCTTCTATATGAAAGCTATAACCTAATAACAGCCTAAGAATATGGGGAGAGGGGAGGGAGAGGGGAGGGGAGAATGGGTGGAGGACTGGGTATTCGAGGGTTCACTTCTGTATAAAATAAGATAAAAAAAAATAAAAAGAAGAATTTAATATTGCCAGGGAAGTACTGGGAGCACTTTAGTTAGAAATCAGCAGTAGCCTAGCTCTGTTGCATTTGAAAATTGTATCTGAAAACTGCCCTATCCTGGGTGCCCTGACAGCTCACAGGGACTAGCTTGTGTAATTACTGGCAGAAATGCTCGGCTCACATGGTGAGTAGAGACTGTGATCTACACACAAAGATAAATATTTTCCATCAGATAAATGAAGACTTATTTGTAAGTATGAGAGACTGGTTTACTGGGGAGTGGAAAAATGTGCCTAGATTTGTTCTTTTCTACTTGTTCATCCTCATTCTAATGTATGTTTTTGTTTCCCTTTTCAGATCTCTTGTATCTAGACTGTTAATCCAATCTTTCCCTCCACAGCTATTAACTCAGCTTTTAATGTATGAAACTTCTCGGGAAGTTTCAGAAAGGTGGAACGAAGGAGCTAAGGAAATTTCACCCTACAATATGAGTCCCTGGTATGAAGAATATGTTGAAGGTCATAAAAGATCATAAAACACTGGAGAAAGGCTTTCCTTTATCCGCATAAACTGAACGGGCCTCATCAGGAGATCAAGGGAGACAACTGGCTTCCTGTCCCCCCTTTCTGTTATCTCAGAATATTTTAGGAATGAGGATCAGTAATGTAGGTGGACCTGGCCCTAATAAGGTCCTCAGGTTAATGTACAAGCCAATTTATTTCTCCCCCATGCCTTCATCCTCTCTAACAACCTCCCCAGCGAGTTTTTGTTGTCGTATACTCCTCAATTTCCCCTCTTCCATCTAAAAAGCCTATCTAAAAATATCTCAATATTTTGGAAAATTGGGTTATCATTCTGATTTCTGTCTGTGTGCAGGATAAATAAATTCTTTCTCTTATTAATCTGCTTTAATTGTGAGTTAATATTTCAGTGAAGTTTTAGGGGAGAGGGCAAGTTTCCCCTTCCCCCTTCCCTAGATATTTTGACCATTTTATTAAGAGACTCTAGATCTTGATTTATTTTTTGTTTTTTGAGACAGAGCCTCAAGCTCTTGCCCTGGGTAGAGTGCCATGACATCACATCTTACAGCAACTTCCAACTCCTGGGCTTAAGTGCATCTCTTGCCTCAGCCTCCCAAGTAGTTGGGCCTTAGACACCCACCACAAGGCATAGTTATTTTTTGGTTGCAGTTGTTATTGTTTGGCAGGCCCGGTACAGATTCGAACCTGCCAGCTCTAGTATGTGTGGCTGATGACTTAACTGCTTGAGCTACAGATGCCACTGAAGACTCTAGATCGTATTTAATATTTTTTATTCTAGCAGATGGTTACTCTGTTTAGATTTTGAATGCAGATTCTGGTTTGCTTTCATGAGCTGTGGCTCCAATGACATTTAACTTTCAAAGCCTTTGCAGAAATATTTTGGTCTGCTTCGTTTATCTATTGCTGCTGTAGCTCCCACTGATTCCTGCTGGTGCTTTCTCAGGACAACCACCTGGCCCCTGTGAGTAGCATGAGTGCATCTCTGGCCTACTGAGGACAAAGAAGCTTTTCAGGCCACTTATTGTGGCCAGATTCTCCTTCTGTCATCTCCCAGCCATGCATTGTCCCTTGGTAGCAGAGGAGAGTCCCAGACTGACAGGAACACATGTTGAGCCCAGTGCCTGTGAGGTAGGATTCCATCTTCCTCGTGACAGGTAAAGAGTTTATTCCTAGGCTGGGCTGCTTATTATGGTCAGCTCTTTCTTGCTATCATTCTCTGGATGTCAAGTGTCCGTTAGTGGAAATGTGGATCCTCAGGCATGGTAGAAAAAGAGAGCACTTTTCTTGGCTTCTTAATTGCTAGTGGGGATTCCAATGAATTCTTCTTGCCAGACTCACCATTCTTTGTAGGGGAGGAATGAATAAACCTGAATCACCATCTGTTCTGAGGTTGGTGATTGGGAAACACTGAACCTGGGTCACTCTTTACCATTGAACGAGGTCTGGGCATCCTCAGATATCCTGATACTATGTTACTCCTACAGTCAGGAGGCTCACCTTTCTCTTTTTAACTTTCAGAGTCAGTTGTCTTTCAGTTGCCTCTTCTTTTATTTCTAGCATTTATAGTTGTATATAGCAGAGAGTAGAGAAAAACAATTCTCTTTTATATGGTGTGAACTGGAAGATTTCTTTGTTTCTCTCTCTCTCTTTTTTTTTTTGAATAGTAAATTTATTTCAGGTTAATGTGAGTCATTTGTGTGTATCCAGATTTGCCTATGATAGTAGAAACATGGAGAAATTTATTCAATATTTTCTTTTTGGTAGTGGCTATAGTGATAGTATGGAATATTAGGCATAGGGGAGTATGGATAAATAACTATATATATATATATATATTTTTTTTTTTTTCTATTTTGTAGGAATATATACTTACCAAGTAATAATGGCAGTTATCTCATTGTTTTGGTAGGTCTGGAGTCTATGTTACTCCTCCAGTCAGGAGGCTCACTTTCCTCTTTTTAACTTTCAGAGTTAGTTCTCTTTTAGTTGCCTCTACTTTTATATCCAGTGTTTATAGTTGTATTTAGCAGGGAGTAGAGAAAAACAATTCTGTTTCATATGGTCAGAACTGGAAGACTTCTCTCTTTCTTTTTTTTTGAAAAGTAAATTTATTTCAGATTAATGTGAGGGTACAAACAACCAAGTCAAACTATTTAATTTTCTTAGGTATAATTCCTCTTGTGGATATGTCCCACACACAAAAGATGTGTCAAACCCCCAACCCATGCCCATTCAGTGAGAGCACCCTAATCACATCCCCTTCCTTCTCCCTCATTACCTCTCTCCCCAACTTGAATGGAAATGAGTTTTTCTCCTATGTGGACATACATCAGATCAACCACAGGCTCTTCATATTTGTACTGAGTAAGTTGGATAATTGCTTTCCCATTCTTGTGATACTTTACTAAGAAGAATGTGTTTCAATTCCATCCAGGATATTACAAAAGATGTGATGCCATCATCTTTTTTATGGCTGAATAGTATTCCATGGTGTGCATGTACCTCAATTTGTTAATCCATTCCTGAGTTGATGAGCATTTAGGTTGTTTTCATGTCTTGGCAATTGTAAATTTAGCTGCAATAAACAATCTAGTGCAAATGTTCTTATGATAAAATGATCTTTTTTTTTCTGGATAGATGCAGAGTAGTGGGATGCAGGGTCAAATGGGAGATCTACTTTGAGTTCTTTGAGCATTCTCCATACATCTTTGCAAAGACGCTGTATTAGTTCATATTCCCACCAATAGTGTACGAGTGTTTCTTCTCTCCACGTCTGCACTAGTATCTGCAGCTTTGAGTGTTGGTGATGTGGACCATTCTCACTGGGGTTAGGTGATATCTCAGGGTGGTTTTGGTGTGGATTTCTCTGATGATTAGGGATGATGAGCATTTTTTCATATATTTGTTAGCCATTCATCTGTCTTCCTTAGAGAAGATTCTAGTCATGTCTCTTACCCAGTGATAGATGGGATCATTAGCTCTTTTTTTGTTGATTAATCTGAGTTCTTTGTAGATCTTAGTTATCAAGCCTTTGTCCAACTCTTGATATGAAAATATGTTTTCTTATTCTGAAGGTTGTCTATTTGCTTTGGTTGTTGTCTCTTTAGGTATATAGAAGCTTTTCAGTTTAATTAAGTCCTATTTATTGATTTTTGTTGTTGTTGCAATTGCCATGGAAGTCTTCTTCATAAAATAAGAATATGGAATGCTTCATGAATTTTCTTGTTGTCTCTGTGCAGGGTCCATGCTAATCTTCTCTGTATCATTCCAATTTTTGTATATGTGCTGCCAAAGCAAGCACTGAACTGGAAGCTTTCTATCTTTTTTCTTTTGTCCTCAGAACATGTTTGTTGAGTTCTATATTATGCTTTGAGATGCAATAATTAAGAAAGAAATATGCAGTCTCTGCTATCACTTCCTACTCATTGCTACCCCTTACCTTCTGATGGCAGCTCTGTCCCTTAGGGCAGAGGTATGTTATCCAAGACAGGATAGTCAGCCTGTAGTTTTGAATTTTCAGATCATTCTCTTAGGATTTTCATGTCTCTATTTATCTGATGAAGGATATGCTACCACTTCTTGACAATGACATTGTCTGCTGCTACCTGATGGACTCTCCTGTGAAAGAAAGATTTGTTTAGAGTTGCTCCAAATTGTGGACACCCACCCAGTGTATGGACATTAAAGTGTGAGTTGTTTTGAAGAAGAAGAACCTTTAAGCTACTAGAGGAGTGTTCTCTACCTTCCTAATGCCTCAACCTTTAATTCAGTTCATGTGCGTCATGACCACAGGTTGAGAACTGCTGTACTAGAGTCATCTAAAAGTAGACAATGCTTTTTTTTTTTTTTTTTTCTGTAGCTAGTGGAGAATTCTCTACCTCTTTAGGTACATCAAGAAATGCTGGGCATCCTTTTCTTTGTCCAGCACACTATGGAGGTTTTTGCCTTGGGGAGGCAAACTTATGGTTATAATATGGGTCTGTCATCTCACAGCTGGCCACCCTGATGTGTTGTTTCAGCAACTTGGTTGATTCTTCCTCCCATCCTTCAATGAAGGGCATGTTTCTTATTACATCATAGTGGGTACTCAGTAACTGCAGGAAAGACTACAATTTCTGTTCTCTTTATTCTTTTATGATACATTGCCTCAAGACACATCATGATTAATTCTAGCTCTTTTAAGTCTTTATTCAAATGTCACATGCTCAGTAAAATTTTTTTTTTAGCCACTGTAGCTAACATTGTAACGCTGGCTCCATAGGTGTATTCACTAACACTTTCTGTATCTTTTTAGTATATTTTCCTTCTTATTCATTTTTTACACCGAATCTACTATACAATATGGAGATTAGTTTACGTTGTTTATGATATCCCCCTGAATCTCATTATTGAGGCGAGCACGTGGTTTTTGTCCTTCGTTCCTTTAATATAATGAATTACATTGATTGACTTTCATATTGAATGTCAATATGATTGAAGGAATATTCCCAGGATAAATTCTACTTAGTCATGGTGTATCTTCCTTTTCCATGTTGCAAAATCCACTGTACTGATATTTATACCTATCATGATAGTTCTCCCTTCAGCAAAGTCATTAAAAGTGATAAGGACAGATTTTGATTGAGTTCCAAGTTTCTTTGTTTATAAGAAAGTAGATGATAAGCAGCTGTTTATAAGAAACGAGGTTAGTTCAAGGTCAGAGGAGGTGGATTGGAGGTTTAGGCTTGTTTGTTTGAAAGATACGTGCTGGGTTGGAAGTCTCTCTTCCTGGCTGTTTCTTTTTGTCTTGAGTGAGGATTATTCCAGGAGTCCCTGGGAGTTTTTCTTCCTGGCTCTTTGTCTTGGGCAGCAACATTTTCTTGTCTCTTTGAAAGGCTTCTCTGTTCTCTCCATTTTATCCAGCCCCTTTCATAGGAATTTCCAGTTGGCTGAAAATTCCTTCTTGAATTCCTGCTGACTGTATGTTTCACCAGTCTGTCCACTTTCTTTTTGTTGGCATGATTTTCCTGATGCTAATTTGGAATTTCACTGGCTTCTAGAAAAACTCACAATCTACAAAAACTAGATCTTCAAGTCCTTTCTCTTCTTATTGCTCTGCACCCCCACCGCTTTTATTATCACCTTGGGTCTTCTCTTTAGCTCCCCTAAATCCATTGACATGTGCCCATTCATCCTACCACCTCCTTCCTCTGTTCCTGCCAAGCTTTTCCTTTCCACTCAACCCTGCAGTTCCCTACATCTTTTAACTTTAAACCCCTTATAAATAAACTTTTATATTTATTACTTAGGTACACTATGTTTCTGGAATTTATTTTCGTGTGTCAAGTGAACTTGTGGCTAGTATTTATTGTTCCTATATAGATCCCCGATATACCTATAATAATTCTGCTAAAGTTCCATATTTTCTTCATTTTGTTTTTAAATTCCATCACTGTACTTTTGTGAACTTGCCACTCTATTTTTTCCATTGTCTAACTGCAAATTCTCATCTAATCCACACTGTTTAGTTCATATAACTTAATTTTATCCTGCAACAATTTTTACATTTTCTTTATCTTATAGGACATTGATGAATTGAAGAGTACTTTTCCAACCCCATCCTTTTATAAATAAAATATTCCTCATTTGGGGTTTGTTTGATGATTTCTTACAACTGGATTCAAGTTGTGCATTCTCAGCCAGAGCTCTACTTAAGGAATATTGCATAATATCTATTGAAAGGATTGGTTCTTGAAGTTTTAGTATGAATTCCTATTGCCTCAGAATCTATTTATTTTATCAAAGATGATAATGCTTTTTTTGACAAGCCCAAAATTTATGTCCGTTAAAAACAACCAGAAGTCCAAGTAGCTTAAACAAGTTTCTGAGTAAACATTTAACAATAGGCAAAGTAAATATCCAGCAAGTGTGATGACCAAAAACTGATAAGGTGTTAGGACAGAAGAGGTGAGTGGAGGGAGAAAGAAACTCCCTTACATGTATCAAGGTCAGTCTGACACCAAATTTAGAAGGATCCTGCTCCAATATGTCAGGAAGTAGATATTTGCAATATAGATGTTGTCAATGTCCAGAAGGGTAAGGTGATGGTTGGTGACTGAAGGGGTACATGTGAGGATAGTCAGGTGAGGAGGAGCAGGGAGGCTTCCTTAAGTATTCCAGGGTAAGCCTGACACTATATCTGAAAGGATGTTTCCCCAAAGTGTTAGCAAGGAGACTCAAAGATTGTAGTTATTTGTAGATTTCCAGGAAGGGTGTCTTGAAAGCCTCAGAATGTTGGATAGTTTACAAAATTTATCTAAATGACAAAAGGCAATGTGTTAGTAAAGTGCGAGATGGGGGAAAGGATGATAGGATCAGTAGATAAATTTCCTATGAGAAAGCGAGAGAGACATTTAGGGAAAGAGGAATATTTCAGAAAATGTGAATTTTTTGTGAATTTCTGAAAATTCAGCAAAAGAACAATACAACAAGATAGTATAGGGAAGAAGAAAAAGTGTGATAGTTTCAAAAAGATAGAAAAAAATATGAAGTGAGAAATATCACTCTTCTCATTGTTTCATTTCATGGAAGAACGTTTAGTCCCTTGTTCTTGTTTTTTTTTTTTTTTGAGAGACGGAGTCTCACTCTGTGTTGAGTGCCATGGCATCTTAGCTCACAGCAACCTCAAATTCCTGCACTCAAAAGATCCTCTTGCCACACCTTCCTGAGTAGCTAGGAGTTCCCAAGTGTCTGGGAATACAGGTGCCCACCACAACACCCAGCTAGTTTTTCTATTTTTAGTAAGGATGGGATTTGGCTCTTGGTCAGGCTGGTCTTCAACTCCTGAGCTCAAGCCATACCCCCACCTCGGCCTCCCAGAGTGCTAGGATTATAGATGTGAGTCATCACTTCTGGCATTGTGATTTTTTCTGAAGTTACCTTCAATATTAGTGGGAGCAATGTAGGCAAAGATAGGAGATGAGTGAGTAGGATGACTCAAGATTAGGAAAAGAATAAAAAACAGAAAAAGATGGGAGTTT